AACACTGAATAAGATAGTAACGTGAGTAGAAAATTCTATGAAATAGAAAAGAAACTTAATGATGCATCATAGGCCACTGATGTGCACTTTCTGCCGTCCCACCTACATGGATCACTTATCCTATTCATAAATTCTTATTTCATTATAAAGAGTAACCAGTTATGTAAAAGTTAACCATAACCTATTTATTGTTATTAACGAACATGTTTAAAAGGACCAGGTGCTAAACCTTGGAAGAATATTAAGGTAAGATGTTATGAGATCACAGAAGCTTAGCCCTGAAGGGTCTTCGCCTGGGCACAGATTCCTCTCTGATGTTCTCTCTGAGTGCTCATTCACCCATTGTGGTGTAAGCCCTGTGTGAAACTCTTCAGATGCAGAGATGAAGAAGACAAGGTGTCAAACAGAGGAGACAGTAAGCAAATAATTAGAATGTGGAACATGCCATAATCAAAGTGGGTGGGTGTCATGGGAGCAGAGATCATGGGGTATCTAACTTTGTTTGGAGGCTAAAGTATAGCAGTCAAGAAGACTTTAAAGGGGAGGTGGGTTTTTATTGCAACTGTTGAGAATAAACAAGGATACACATATTTCCAACTATGGCCTGGGGTTATATGAGCTTTAAGAGTTGAGCTGTTGGGGACATTCCAGACCAAGGGAAAGTCATGGGCAGAGGCAGGGAGGTGAAAGGAGTCTTTCACCTGTTTTGGGGAGAAGTATAGTTAGTACAGAGTGGCTGTGACTCAGGGCCACTCTGTACTAACACAGAGTGTGTCGGGGAGATGAAACTGGATTACAGGCAGGAAGGGAGGAACACAGGACCTTCTGAACCTCTCACGGGGTTTAGGCTTCATAGAGAATCACTGTATGAACACACTGTCAGACTACTTTGAGAGGAAACACATTCATTTTTGAGAATCCTCATTTTTGAGTTCTCTTTATGTTTGTCTGTGGTACAACTTCCTGCAGCCCCATGTGTAGGTCATTGTAAGGGGAGAAGGCATGTAGAATCGAAAAGCATGCACAGGGAGCTTCAGGTGACACAGAGAAACACAACACAGGAGGTGGCTTATTTGATGTTCATTGAAGTTGTGAAAAAGCATAAAAAATAGCAAATTTATTAGCGTAAAAAAGAAACAAGGAAAGTATTATATACCATAACAAAGTGGGATTCCAGAACGCAAGGCTAGTTCAACATTCAGAGATCAATCCATTATATCAATGGGTTAAAGAAGAAAAATAATATAATCTTATCAATATATGCATAAAAAGAATTTGACAATATCTAACAATCATTCATGATAAAACTTTCAGCAAACTAGCAATAGAGAGAAACTTCTTCAATTTGATTTTTAAAATCAAAACAACTCCTCCACTTAACATGATACTTAAGCATGAAAAACAAGATACTTTCCCACCAAGAACAGGAACAAAACAAGGATGTCTCCTCTTATCACTCTCATTTAACTTTGTACGGAAAGTCCTAACTAATGCAATACGACACAAAAAGGAAATAAAAGGTGTACAGATAAGTGCTAAAACTGTCTTTGTTCATATGTGCCATGATTGCCTATGTAGAAAATCTCAAAGAATGAACAAAAAACGCCTAGAGTGAATTCTATGTATATAATCTTTTATAAGTGATTATAACAAAGATGCAGGATAAAAGGTTAATTTTGAAAAAGTCAATTCTTTTCTTATATGCCAGCAATGAAGAGTTGAAATTTAAAATTAAAAACACAGTGCCATTTGTGCTGGCACCAAAAATGAAGTACTTAGGTATAAGTCTAACAAAATATGTATTTATCTGACAAAAACTATTAAAATCTGATGAAAGAAACCAAAGAATATCTAAATAATAGAGTTACTGCATGTTAATGAATAAGAAAACTCCATATTGTTAAGACATCTGTTCTTTCAACTTGATTTACAGATCACTATTGGGATCAATGCAGTCCTTATCAAAACCCAAATAAAGCTACTTTGTGGATATTAACCAGCTGATTCAAAATCTATGGAAAGTCAAGAGACCCAGAATAGCCAACATGATATGTAAGAAGAACAAAATTAGAAGACTGATGCTAATTGACTTTAAGACGTACTATTGACTTACAGTAATCTAGAGAGTATGGTACTGTTAAAGAATAGATTAATAGATCAATAGAATAGAACAGAGAGCACAGATAGAGCCCCATACAAATATAGTCAATAGATTTTTGACAAATGAGCCAAGGCAATTCAATGGGAAAAAGATAAGCTTCTTAACAAATGGTGGTAAAACTACTGGAAAACCATATGTAAAAAAAAATGAATCTAGATACTGACCTTATACTTCTCACAAAAATTAACTCAAAATGGATCATACACCTAAATTTAAAGTGCAAAACTATAAAACTTCTAAAAGATAGCAGGAGAAAATAAAGGTAATCTTGGATTTGACTGTGAGTTTTTAAATACAACCCTATAGGATGACCTATAAAAGAAAAACTTAATAAGTGGGACTTTATTATAATTAAAAAAAACACAACTTCTGCTGCATGAGCGACACTTAAAAGAATGAGAAGACAAGCCATAGGGAGGGAGGACATGTCTGTTAAAGGGGTAGTATTCAAAATATACAGAGAATACTTGAAACTCTACAACAAGAAAACAAATAATCCAACTTAAAAGCTGGCAAAAGACTGAAAAGATACCTTACTAAAAAAGATATATAGATTGCAAATAAGCATATGAAAAGATGTTCAACATGATATGTCATCAAATAATTATAAATTAAAACAAATGAGATACTACTACATGTCTATTAGAATGGCCAAAATCCAAAATGCCGACAATGACGAATATTAGCAAGGATGTGGGGCAACAGGAATTCTCATTCATGGCTGGTGGAAATGCAAAATGGTATAGCCACTTTGGAGTATGACTTGGTAGTTTCTTATGAAACTAGACATAGTCCTATTATGTGACCTAATCACAAAAATGCATGGGGGAACCTTAAATGCCTATTTCTAAATGAAAGAAAACAGTTTTAAAAGACTAAACATTTATGATTTATAATATTCGATATTCTAAGAAAAAGTAAAACTACTGGAATTATAAAAAAGATCAGTGGTGATGAGTTGTTTGTGCAGAGGGAGAGGTTAAAGAGGGAGTAGTGAATAGGTAGAGGATAAGAGATTTTCAGGGCAGTGAAGCTATGCTGCATGATACCACAGTGGTGGACTTAATGACATTATGTGTTTGTCAAAACCCATAGAACTGTGCATCACCAAGAGAGAACCCTAATGTAGACTATGCACTTTAGTTAATGTGTATCAATATTGGCTCATCAATTATAACATGTCATCATATTAAAGCGAGATGTTAATAGGAGGTAGGGGAAATTGTGTGCAGGGAGTAAAGGAAGTGTATTTTAACTTTTTGAGCTTTCTGTTAATTTTTTCTATAATCTCAAAACTGTTCTAAAACAAAAGGGTATTAATTAAAAAAAAAATTAAAGTTCTGTCCCCCCCCACATGTGACAAACTTGTTGAAGAAAGAAGAGAAAGAGGAAAAATGTTATTTCTGTTCCACAATTTTTTTTCTTTTTTGTTTTTTATTATACTTTAAGTTCTGGGATACACGTGCAGAATGTGCAGGTTTGTTACATAGGTATACACGTGCCACGGTGATTTGCTGCACCCATCAACCCATCATCTACATTAGGTATTTCTCCTAATTCTATTCCTCCCCTAGCTCCCCACCTCCCACAGGCCCCTGGTGTGTGATGTTCCCCTCCCTGTGTCCACGTGTTCTCATTGTTCAACTCCCACTAATGAGTGAGAACATGCAGTGTTTAGTTTTCTGTTCTTGTGTTAGTTTGCTGAGAATCATGGTTTCCAGCTTCATCCATGTCCCTGCAAAGGACATGAACTCATCCTTTTATATGGCTGCATAGTATTCCATGGTGTATATGTGCCACATTTTCTTTATCCAGTCTATCATTGATGGGCATTTGGGTTGGTTCCAAGTCTT